CTATTTTAATATATATATATCTATATCAATCAAAACCCAGAGAAAAGATATATTTGTTTTAGAGCCAAATAAATATTTGTTGCCAATAATTATTTATTTGTTGCAATTAAATATTTATTTGGTGCAATTAAATATTTATCTGTAGCCAATAATTGTTTATTTATTGCAATTAAATATTTATTTGATTTAAATAAAAAAGTTTGTTTATGACAAATAAAATTTTTGTTCACACCAAATAAAATGGGTAAGTTGGCTCTGAGACAAATAAACGTTTATTTAACTCAAATATATTATATTTGGTTAAAATAAAGCATTTCTCTGTGTGAAACAGTTTAAAAATTTTTTTGAATTTAAATGTTTTTTCAAACAAAAATTTAGTGAATTATTGAAAAAAAAATCAACTTATAATGATGGGAAAATACATTCCATTAGAAAAATTCTTTTCAAAGATCGAGATAAAAAAAAAAGAAAGAAAAATAAAATGAAAAATGATCGACACAAATTTTTTAAGAGGATTAATTATTCAACAGTGATCCGATTTTCTATATATCGTGTGTTTGTGAAAGAGTGTGTACGCCATCAGACAATGTTAACCTGGAACAAGAGCGATGGATCAACAAGAGATCGGATTAGGAAATCATACATATAAGCTCTTAACGAGTGCTTTCCAAAGACTGAATCATTGAAAATATACTGCAAAACCGTTGCAGAGTGCACATAGAGCGTTGGCGGTTACACGCGTGAATCATTCTGTCATCTCAGTGGTTTTTCGTTTAATACACACAGCAGCTGACTTCTGTACGATTATAGAGAGAAACGCGATTCCAACGGATCTCTTATATGTATTCGACTCTTCTCTATATCGTCTTCTCTTCTTCTTCTTTTTTTCTCTTTCTCTCCTTCATCATTTTTCTTTCTTTTTTCTTTCCTTTTTATTCCTGTGAGCAAATTCCCACGCGCGCGCGCGCGCAATGAAACGATGTCGCAATCGCAACAATGCAGAATTGCGCTATGGCGTTTTCGATCGACTGGCAATTATCGGATATCGCGCTCAGAAATTGTCGGCGATCCTTTTCAAAAACCTCAATATTTCTTGAATTTAACAGCGCGACAAAAATTCCCCATCATTGACCTTGCTCCTTCTTTCTATGTAAAAGGGGAAATTTACTTCAAATGAAGAGCGATTCCTTGCATAGCATGCAATCCGCAAACTTTTCGAAAAATCTCTTTTACATCTTTGGCTATGAATTTTACCCTCAAGGAGTAATTACTTTATATATATATATATATATATATATATATATATATATATATATATATATATATATATATATATATACGTGTAAGTAATGGACCCGCATTATTTACTGTTCCATATAATGTGTATATATACGAGAATTTTTTTTTTTTTACCTTCACAATACAATGTTTTCAGAATCACATGAATGCACACAAATTGGTGCGTGTTTTTTGAAACATTATTTTCAACGATAATTTCGGAAAATACGTAAATTTTATTATCTTCTGATAACTATACATAAGTGGATTCATTTTTTTTTTTTGCGTGGGAAACATAGAAAATCCGCGTCAGGTTTTTGATGATAATACCTGCGGGGGTAACAATTTGGTTTAATTAACTTTTGATTTTCTCTATTCTCACTGAGAAAAATGTTTAGTCAGAGCAACCAAAATTTGATTGGTCCAACAAAAAAATTTTGTTGGTATTTAAGCAACCAAACTATTTGTATGAGTCAACCAAAAAATTTGGTTGAGTGTTTTTTGTTGGCATAACAAAAATGGTTGGTTAGCTCAACCAAATTTTTTTTATTAGGTCAACAAAAATATTTGGTTAATCAAACAGTTTTTTTTTTGAAAATTAAAAATTTTATTCTACCTTTTTTATTATCTTTTTATTTATTTCATTATTTATTTATTATCAATTTAACATTGAATTTATATTTATCCAATTGAAATTTTTTTGGACTTTGAAAAATCTCATCTCCGACTGGGATCGAACCTCTTTTTTAAAACAGAAGATCGGGAGCTCTGACCACTGCACTGAAAAAAAAAATTTATTTGATTCAAATACTCGATTACTTGACTATTATCAAATAAATATTTATTTGTATCAAATAATTGTTATTTAAGTCAATTAAATGGTATTTGTTTCAAATACAAAAATTATTGGTTCAAATACAATTTATTTAATTCAAATAAAAATTATTTTGTTCAAGTAAATATTTATTTGATAATACTCAAGTAATCGAGTATTTGAATCAAATAAATTTTTTTTTCAGTGTGGACTAACCATCCTTGTGAGAGATTTAAACTAACTGTTCTCTTAAGCTATATGAGCTGAGAGTGAATCAAATTATTTGGTTGTCGCAACCAAATTTTGGTTAGGACAACAAACGATCATTTGGTTTTTTAGACCAAACTATTTTGTTGTGTCAACTAAATTATTTTGTTGTAGCCGAATTTTCGTTGGAATTTAAAAATGTTCAACCAAATAATTTTATTGGCCTAACCAAATGTTTCGTTGAGATAACTCTATGACTTTGATTCAGCCAACCAAAATTTGGATGCAAGAACCAAAATTGCCTAATCAAATAATTTTGTTGCAAAAACTTAAACTCAGTGCTGTAATATCTTACAAATTAACCTACGAGACTATACTTCGGAACTGGACTATACTTTTCCGAAGCATTTTAATGCTTAATCTGACCGAGATTTTTTACCATATTTGAGGGCATGTAACAACAAGAGATAATTTATTTTCAAAATGTTTTGTTACAGCATCTAAAAGTACTATTGTTACCCTTTAAAATGCATTTTGAAACTTTAAAAAATCTTTATTTGGTTCTGAGTTATCGTCATTTAAATTTTTCGAAGCATTATCACGAATATTTCAAAATTCACAACTCAGAAAATTCAAATGACAATAATTCAGAGTCAAATAAATATTTTTTAAAGTTTCAAAATGCATTTTAAAGCAGAAGAATAGTACTTTCAGATGCTGTAATGAACTTTTAGCTAAAAAAATTATCCCTTGATGTTACATGCCTTCAAATATGGTCAAAAATCTCGGTCAGATTAAGCGTCAATATGCTTCGGAAAAGCTGGTTACAAAGTAGAGTATCTGGAAATGGGCCATCCATAAATTACGTTGCGCTTGAAGGGGAGGCGGGGGGTTCAAGGATTTGCAACATTCAATAGAAAAAATGGCGCTAATGTATGCAAAATGTGCAACATGGGGGAGGGGGGGGGGGAGTCGAAAATAGTGAAAAATAGTGCAACGTAATTTATGGATGGCCCCCAAAATTGATTCAAAATTTTACCCATTGGACACAAAAAGCATTTTTGATTTCAAAAATATTCCACGTTTTACATAGAAAAGAACATCAAAAATGAATAAAGGAAAAAAAGAGAGAATACTTAAATATTTGTAATATTAAAATGACACGTATTTTATCATTCAGTGAGGGCACATTTGCAATGATGATCATTAGCTGTAATTATCTCTGAAGAGACAAACTAAAAGGTAAAAGAAAAAAAAAAAAAATTAAAAAATATGATAAAGGTACATGGCGCGCACCGGCACATCAGGGACACGTGGGTGTTCCACGGCAATCGGGCGTCGTCTGTGTTAATTTATTTAAATTACAGCGCAAATGCCATTTGGTCAACCGAGCTATTCACCATTGTCATGGATTTTGTTATTTATCGGCGTCCAGTACTCTATGTCTATACACTTTCAGCAGATATAATACTTCACTTACAATATACAAGCATAACGCAAATGGCATACATATCGTCTCGCGATTTTATGACTTATCCTTGCAGATAATAACATTAACATATATTATATTTCAATCGTTGTTATAAAATTTATAAAAGATATAAATGAATCAATTTCGTAATGTTGCATGTTCTTCTGAAATATTTTAGAAATATTACAAATGTCAAATATTTAAATGACTGAATTTGAAAAATTTTCATTTACATATTGTATAGAAATATGTAGCTCAATAAAAAAAACAATATTCATTATTTGTATAAACTTAATTTTTTTTTTAAAAAAAATAGAAGAAAAAAAGAGAATTATAAGCAAATTAATATTAACAATATAGTTAAAAAGTATTTTGTATAAAAGAAACGTCGCGTGCAAAAACAGATACTTTTAATTGAGAGCATTTTTTAAAGGTATATATTTCTGTCGATAATAAGAGGAAAAAATAATTATTTATCGCTTTTTCGTTTGTAAACTCTTAACATCAATTATGTCAGTCTTTAATGACTGTTGAAGAAAACGTTACTGCAAGTAATTAATATTCCAAAGTCAGTTTTGCGCGTTATGAGAGTGTGAAGAACGGAAAAAGAAAAAAAAAGATGTTCATGTCATTAACCCATCCCCTATTCCCAGGCTACAAGTGTTAGCAAAAAAATATAAGAACTCCAGCTGCTCAATCACTCAGTGACTTAGAAAATTCCACATTTGAGAGTTTTCTGTTTTGAATATTTTTATTTAAAAAAAAAAACAAATAAACAATATTACATACCTTTATTTAAATTAAGTATTATGTTAATTCACAAATTTCACTTATCTATTTTTTAGAGCAACATAATGAAAAAATAAAAATAGAAACTAACAGCGTTTAAAATATAATTGTTTTTTCAGCTGCTAATCAAAAAAAAATTTTTTTTTTTCAATGAAACATTAAATGACATGGAAATTGATAAAATAAATTTATGTTACTTGCATTTAATAATTTCATTGAATGAAGGTCAAAAAACAAGCTAAGTAAAATTCTGTTTCATTGTTGAAAAAATTTACATAATAATAAAATAATTTAATAAAATAAAATAATGTCACTTATCATTATTCGCTTTATTATAAGAATTTTCCTGTAAAGAAATGGAAAAAATAAATAAATTTTATAATTTTTCTTAAAAAAAAAAAAAAAAGAAAGAAAAGATTCTTTTTTTCTAAGGGAATGAAATTCTTTTTAGAATAATAATAATAAATCATTTATTTTACAAAATATATCACACTAGACTAAAATTACATATTCACGCCACTATACAATACTTAAAAAACAAAGCTCGATTCTCTTCCATAAATAAGATTTCATCTTTGATGATGCAATTTTCAAATTTAATTAGTTTCTTCTTTTTTTTAAAATTAATTTTGATTAAAAAAGAAATTGCACCATCTTGACGAGATTAAAATATAATTATAATTACATTTATTACAAGAAAAAATATTGCAATAGTCTCGTGAATTTTTTTAGTATAATTTTTTTTTTATTGAAAACTATTCCAAAGACTATTGCAATATTTACAGTTTATTTTACAAAAAAAATGACAGTTAAAATTTTTATTATAAATATTATTCTTCCTGGGTTGAAGTTCATTGAGCACCAAACACCTTAATTGAGCATAATTATTTCACTTTTATTTGTAAGCTTTTGAAAATTGTTTATATTTTCCAAAAAAAAACAATGCTAATTTAGTATATATAATTAATTCAATTAAGTAAGTGAATTAAATTAATTTTTTTTAAGTAATTCAATTGAATTAAATTAACCCTCCGTCAAAGGGTTAAAAAAATTACATTGATGTAAATTTTTCACATTTTCAAGATTTATTTTTAATTTTATTAAATTTTATTATTATGTTTAACTAAAGTACTTTTTTTTACAAATGTTTTCAAGAATGATGCAATGAAAATTATAGAAACGAATTATATCTTGTGTATTACAAATTTTATTTGTAAAATATTGAACCATTTAAGAAAATTCCTCATAATGACGTAGGGTTAATTAAACTAATTGAATTGAATTATTTTAATTAAAATAATTAAATGAAATATATTTAATTAAAGTAATCGAATTAAATTAATTTAAATTAAGTAATTTAATTGAAGTAATTAATTAATTTTTGTTCCAATTCACTATTATAGTTTATATTTCAAGTGTCTGAAAATTTATTTTTTTTTTATAGAAATATTGCATTCTTTCAAAATATTTCGATCACTTTGTGATAATTACTTTTCTAATAATTCAGTTTCTCGAAGAAAAGGAAATATCACTTTATATAGTGTTTAAAAAAAAACATCTGACGCAACCAATGGAACTCAAACTATGATGGCTGTACACTAAATTAAATAAATTTCAAATCAATATCACTTTCACTTAAGAGAAGAACGATCTCGTTCCATTTCCCACGAAGGACTGTAATTGTTTAGCTGCACCCTGCGAAAAAAAATGAGTAAAAATTATAATTTACAGGGGAAAAAAATTTTTTCTTCTCCAAAATCCATTTTTTTTCGGTTTCAAAATTTCTCGAATTCGTTGTTATTCTGTAGCGTTTGTCTAAATTTTGTTATAAAAATTTACAAACATGTTTGTCCCAAGAAAGAATTGCCAAGTTTCTAACTGAATCGACGAAAAGAAATAAAAAAAAGATTAATCGTAATTGGAAAGTAATTACTTAAAATTGATGTTATTTATCTACCAAGTGGATCCAATTAATAACAGAATAAGTTTTAAATTTTTTTTTGTAAGAATCCATCTTAATAAGGATTTAACATTTTTATTTTACCCTGCATGGGAAAAACGTATATATTTTTCCATTGTAGGTAAGATTATTTTTTAAATCATCGAAACTAGAATCATCCACTAAGTAAATTCACAGAAAATTATAAAAGGCATTAAAATAAGCTGCAACGCTTATTATTTTAATCCAATTTTACTTATTTTAATACCAAAATGGATTAAAATAAGTAAAATTGGATTAAAATAATAAGCGTTGCAGTTTATTTTAATGCCTTTTAATTTTCTGTGTTGAAATATTTAAGAACACTTCTTATTAGTAAAGAGTATAAAAATTTTATAGAGGACCAAGAAATTTTTTCTACTAATTTTAACAAAGAAATTTTAATAAAATTTTACCATAATGGCACCGCCGAGAAATTGACTGAAAGCTCTGGTAACACCAATGGCAGCATTTACAACTTGACTTCGAACATTTTCATTTGAATCCCCTTTGAATGAATCTGAAGATCCAGCAAAATTAAATCCACCAAATAATGGCGGTGGATATGTCGACGATGGCTTCCACGTTGGAGCCGCTGGCCTTGGTCTTGTGGTTGTTCTCACAGTTGTTGTTGTTGTTGTGGAAGTAGTCGAAGATCTTGCATCTCTATTTTTGTCAAGACCCTGGAAAAATTAATATAAATTTATCACTTATTTCTAATTTTTTGAATAATTTCATATTTTAATCGACTAAAATTGATTTCTCTTTTTTTTTTGTCTAAAATTAGAGATAAGATCTGAAATTATTAATTGATTTGTAAATTCTTCTGAAATTCATATATGAATGAACTTACAGCAACGAGAAGTTGTTCTCTCAGTTGGTTAGCCGGAGTGGAAGGTTCGATACCCTCAGCTTTGAGCAATGCAGCCAATAATGCAGCATCGCTTTTAACATTTTCTCCCTTTAAAGAAGGTGGTTGAATACTCGGCTGACCGTTCAAAATTGCCCTCAAGAATGCTTCATCGTCCTTAGAAACTTGCCCCATTGGAGAAAGGGTCGATGATCCTGAATATTCAATAAATATCTTATAATAGTTTCAATAACAAAAAATGATATAACATTCGGACAAATGGATTTTAATACCCAAACGTCATAAACGTGATTTTGATTGCTAATTTTTGTTTCATCGTATTATCGGATTAAATCCGGATTGTTGCGAAATAATTACAGATTGGTCAATTCCGAACTGATCTCTGTCCAAATTTATAAGGATCATTTTTCGAATTGTATTATGTATAATTTTCGAACTAATCCGAACTAATATGTTCGGATTTAATTTAGAATCAGACCAAAATTTTAATCACATTTGTTATGAATACTTTACATGTTTTCATCATTAAAGGCATTAAAGCTTCATCGCGTTTTGTTTATAACAGTCTGAATTTGACTAGGATCAGAGAAAATTAAAAGGCATTAAAATAAGCTTATTATTTCAATCTAATTTTGCTTATTTTAATTCATTTTGGTATTAAAATAAGCAAAATTGGATTAAAATAATAAGCTTATTTTAATGCCTTCTAATTTTCTCTGATTACCCGACAATTAAAAACCAAAAATTGATATTTTACTAAAAATGGGTATTCAATAAAAAAAAAATTTTCAAACTAAAAGCCATTGACAAATTCACTCACCCATAGTTTGAGCAGCATTAAGAAGTGCTAACAAAAATTTAGCGTCTTCCTCGGGTGAAAAAGTGGTGCTTTGTGTTAATTTTGAATCAACTGCTGAACTACTCGCAGCTTCCAAATTTGGATTCTTTTTTGTAACATCCGGAATTAGATGAATAGCATCGAGGTTTGAGAAAGGTCCTTTTGGAATCTGCTCAATTATCTGTGTACTTGTGATGGGTATCACAGTTGTTAATGGTCTAACAGGTCTTTTATTTCTCACCGGCGTTGGTGTTGTTGGTATTCCAAAAAAGTTGCCCCCAAATAGTGTCCTCAATAAATTCGCCCCAAAACCCAATCTTGGTGCTGTGGTAGTTGTTCTTGGTCTAGATGGTCTGGATGTTATTTCCAATTGTCTTGTTGGAATTCCAGCAGGTGTTGTTGAAGTTCGAAGAGGAGTTGTTGTTGATGTTCTAACAGTTGTTGTTGTCCTCTGAGTTGTAGTTATCTTTTCGGTTGTTGTTGTCTTCGGAGTGGTTGTTGTCGTTGTTCTCGGAGTTGTAGTGGTTGTTGTTGTTGTTGTCTTCGGAGTGGTTGTTGTCGTTGTTCTCGGAGTAGTACTGGTTGTTGTTGTCACTGTGGTTGTTCTTGGAATCGAAGAAACAGTGGTCTGTTGTTCGTAAAGAGATCTCAAACTCGAACTAACGCCCGAAACGGAATTAGGAGTTGAAATATGAATCTGATTAGCGGCAATGCCATTTAATAGTGTTTTCCAGGGATTCACAATCACGGGACTAGTTGATGTAATCGGTTTCCAAGTGGCGGTATTCGACTTTTCGGTCGTTGAACTTGGATAGAGGTCTATTACCACTGGACCAGATTCTGGATTAGGGTCAGTTTCGATTAGCAAATTAGGGGAGGCATTCGATGGCTGAATTGCTTTTGGCGATCTCGTTGGTCCAGCTTTACCAAGAGCCAGAGATAATATCTAGAAAAAAGAAAAATCATTATTTTCAACTACAATTGATCAAGGTAAAATCAAATAAAAACTCTTTCTAATTTTTCCATTTATTTTTCAAAATCATCATATTTGCTTGTTTGAATATATAGGCTATTTGTTGAGCGAAGGGGAGTTTACACGATTCTGGTAAACATGCAGTTAGAATCCCACTTCAATTAATTCTATCGATGCAATGTGAACGTGCGATGCTCACATTGCTGAATATATGTAATTTTAAGCAACAGTAGATTTACTGATGTTGCTTGCAGTAAACAATCTTTGGCAAAATGTATTTTAATTAAATTATTCATAAATCTAATTTAACAAAAATGTTAATTTAATAAACTTCACTATTTTTTTTATTTTAAAAAAAAAATACAAAAACTCAAAATTTAATTTTCTCTATATCTTGGATTTAATTGCCCTGAGGCTGAATGTATAAAAACAATCGAAAGATTCTGATCAACTTTAACGTATGACATCACTATTATTATTATAGTGTTCAATGCCAATATTGCATAAAAAATCAATTGAGCACGAGATGCAACCAATAAGAAATCTATATAATCGTTCGCAATCACGCACAACTCTCTCAGAAAACTACGGAAATAATATTTTTTGAAAAAAAAAGAATTTAATGAAAAAGCAAAATATTTCTTTAATTGATTAGTTTGTATAGAAAAATCGTTTAAAATTAACAATATTGAAAATAAATATAAAAAAATAGAGTAAGAAAAAATAAATTAATATCAGGCTACTGAAGTTATAAATATAATTTATAATATTTTAATAAAAATCATATCCTTGTAAAAAAAAGAGAAGAGAAAAAATATAAATGTGATTGCAGTGATTCAAATCTAAATTTTTCTTTGTCATTGTGAAAAGAAATTTAATAATTAGCATAATCTTAATTTATAACTAGATCAACGTTTCATTCTGACATGTGCTTCTGTTATTTAAGCGTCTATATATATATATATATATATATATATATATATATATATATATATATATCTGATAAAGTGAATTGATAATAATCATCCAGGAAGGATTTCAAGGCTTTTAATTCCTCTCTAAATCGAAATGATATTATGCAAGTTGATGCCACGAATAAATAATTGATATTCCTTTTTCGTGCGGCAAGTTTTTTTTATATCAATTTCAGTCTTACGATTTTTTTATTTTTAGAATTATATAATTAGTTCACAGTTATGACCAGTTTGTGATTGTCATATATATCTATACTGATTCAATGCAAAAAAAAACAAGGTCAAAGTCTAGCAATTTCTTAACTATAGAGATGAAAGGAGATATAAAATATCTTGGCACAACTTTAAAAAAAAAAAAAAAAAAAACGAATCTATTTTTAAGTCTCAGAAATTTATCAATCTATTTTAATCATTTATTTTTTAATTATTATTTTGACTGACAGAATCGAAAAATAATAAACGCTTTTCGCAATATGCATAATAATGTAAATTTCTTTTTTTTTCCCCTTTTACTATAGAAGTCTTTTAATCTTCGACATTTAAATTTATTCTTTTTTTCATCTGACGTTCCAAAAATATTTTCAGACCTTGATATCAATTCATCGACAAATGGTCTATGCTAATAAGAAAAAAAAAAAAAATTCGATTGTGTAAATGGTGAAAGGCCAATAAACGTACTTGTATGGTTTTTTTCTTTCTTTCTTTTTTTCTTCAACGATTTTACTCTATCGCTGTAATTATCCTGCTTTTAGTTAATAGTCAAGGAGCAAAATGAGAGAGAGATAAAAAAAACACACAATGTACTCTTTTATTCAAAACCCATTATCTTTCCATGTACCATTTAGAATATTTTTTTTCGATTTTTATGCAATAATTTTGCCTGAATAAATATCGAGAATATTGTAATTTTTTCAACATTACGGGTATATAAAAAAAACAGTAAATATGATAGAATTAGCGAAAATTATGGTAATAAGAACAAATTTTTTTTTCGTAATGAATGTGAAAAAATTAATAATTAAAAATATTCCTACCTTGTCCGCTAAAAGTTTTTCAACTTCTGTCAGAGTTTTTGGAGTTGTTCTTCCAAATCTTTGTGTATTCAACTGAAATTATTAAATTATTACTATTACTATTACTATTATTATAAAATTCAATTTAATTAAAAATTCCTAAGAGACAATTTTTTTCTCATCAAATGAAAATAAAAATAAACAGGACCAAAAAAAATTGTTTACCAGAGTATTGAGGAAGGCCAAATCATCATATGTTGTACCAAAAGGATTTTCTTTTGGAATATTTGTAGTAAACAATCCATCTGGTGTGTTAACTAATTTTAAATTAGTTGTTGATGTTGTTGTGAATGGAACAAATGTCGTTGTTGGATTTGTTGCAACAGTTGTTGTTGTTGTTGGAGCCAATGTAGATGAAGTTGTTGAGGTTGTTGAAGAAATTCCCGATGATTTTGAAGCGAAAATTTGAGCATTAACATCATCCTACGGAATTATTAAATTATTGATTGTACCTAATTTTTAAAAATTAATCTAAGATTCAAAATTTTTTTTTTCATAAAAGTGATTTCACAACAAACCAAAATATTTGATGCAACAGAAGCGGAAATGGGTGGAGAATTTGTGGTAATGCCAAAGATTTGGTCCAAAGGATCTTTCCAGGCAAAATTTGGAGCAACAGTAATTGTACCAGATCCACTGTTTGGTGATAAGTGAAATGATGGCAATTTTGGAGGTGAATTACCAGTACCTTGACTTGATGCAGTCTTACAGAAATGAAATTTATGTTAAATTACAAAAAGTAAAAAAAATTCTATATGAAAATATAGATGATTTTGGAACATAAATATTGTGTATTATATAATTAACTTACGGAGACGGAATTAATTTTAACATTGAGAACTTGGGGATTTGAATTGGGTTGATCATTGATCCAATAATTGATGTATTTATCCTGAAACGTCAAAAGAAGAAAATAGATGATGTATATACACAATCGAATTGAACGCAACTCTTAAATCATTGAACTCGTTTTTCTCTCCTTGTCTTACCTGTCCAATGTACATGGAGTTGCGTTGACCTCCGGCCTCTCTCGTCCTGGTGGCCTCGTCCCTCTCTCGATCCTGAATAATCCGACCACCCTGTTGACTACCGTTCGAACCTGCGACGACATTAGAATTCGAGGAACTCGAACTTGTTGCAGATGGCACTGAACTTGTTGCATTCGGTGCATTTATCACCTGTGTATTTAAACAAACAATAAAAATAAAAGAAAAAAAAAACTATTTTGTAAATAATAACAATAATGAAAATAAAATCTGTTAATAGCAAAGATTAATAGAAATTAAAATAACTAATAATAAAAATAAATTATAACTAAAATTTTGTTTACAATAAAAATATGTACAAATATCGAAATATGACAAAGTAAAAAATGCAAATCAGAAAAATACTGATAAGAAGTGCTTTTGTGTTTCTATACAAAGTGCAAGGATGTGCAAAATTTTTACAAGTTTGCTATTTTCAATAAAAAAAAAAAAAATTTTACTTTACAAATTTACAAAGAGATAATTTACAAAAAATTACTTTTAACGAAAAAAAACTGTTTTGTTCAGTATATAATCAGTGACGGAGAATCATGTTTCGATATTTTCTATCTGAAAAGAAAGTTACAGAGAAAAGAATATTGAGATTCAGGTCCAATGATATACATAGGAAGTTATTTGAAGATACAAAGATTTTAAATTGAAAGAGCGAAATGATAGAAATAAAACTTGCAAAATTAGAGTTGTAAATAAAGAAGAGAATATTAATAACTGATTAATATACACGTATAATTAAAGACATGAGATGAAGAAACATGAAAGCAATATTAATCTAATATTATTGAAATTTTTGTTTAGTACCAATTATTATTATAACAATTTCCATAAAGGAAAAATGAAATTCGAAACAGATGATTTTTTGGACATGTAAATGTTTTTTCTGTGTTTAAAATTATAGAAATAATAATTTAGTGGAAAAAAATATAATTAGAATCAATAAAAAAAAAAGTAGTAAAGAAACTTTATTTTTTGAAAAATTCTTGACTAAAACATAGAATAAGAAAATTTTGTTAAAATTTTGATGATCTTTTTGATCAATTTGAAACTGAGTGGAGTAGTGTACCATTTTTTGAGTGGTGCTAACTGATGGGGGAACGGGGCTTGTAGTTGTTCCAATGGGGCCGATGGCATTACCCGACAATCCATTGTCAACATCATTGGTACCAACGAGACTAATCTGCTTTTCCAATGTGGCTACTGGGTTAGAGAGAGCAGCATTCTGATTACGGAAACCTTGGTTAGCCTGATTATCAGTAAAAACGGGTAGACTGGGCCTGTTAGTGGTAGTAGATGTACTAAGCGAGAAAACAACTTCAACTGGATTGCTGGGAGGATCCGGTATTACCGTTCCATTTGGAAACTTGCGAACAAGTCTTCCATCAGGATAGATTCCAAAGATGACGTAGGGGCTATCAATGTTCCTTGCATCGATCAAATTGTCCTCAGGTCGCTTACGAACAATCGTCTTATTTGGATAGATCCCATAGATCAAGTAGTCTCTCAATGGAGCTGTCGTTGATGAACTTGAACTAAATCTCGGAGCTGGGGTGAGTCTGGATCCGCCAAAGCGTCCCATATATGGTGTTGTCATCGTAGGTGTTGAACCTGCTGCTGGATTCATCACTCGTGTTGCGTCATTACTCAACAGTTTTGAGGATGATGCTGCTGTCGTTGAAGGGCTGGAGGTGGATGTCGGGAAGTTGCTACCATCATTGTTCATAGGAAGAAGAGTGGTACCAATATTGTTTGGAGGAGGAATAGTGGTTGCAGCAGGAGGAGTGGTTCCAATATTACTTAAAGGAGGAGAAGTAGTTCCAACATTGTTCAAAGGTGAAGAAGTGGTTTCAACATTATTTAGAGAAGGAAGAGTGGTTTCAAAATTATTCAAAGGAGGAAAAGTTGTTCGGAAATTATTCACAGGAGGAGTGGTTCCAAAATTATTTAAAGGAGAAGGAGTGGTTCCAAAATTATTTAAAGGAGAAGGAGTGGTTCCAAAATTATTTAAAGGAGGAGGAGTGGTACCAAAATTATTTAAAGGAGGAAGAGATGTTCCAAAATTACTTAATGGAGGAGAATAGGTTCCGGTGGGTAATAATCTGGTGGTAGTTGTTGGAAAATTGACACCAAAACTGGTTGGTAGTAACCTGGTGGATGGAGTTGTGGGATTTCTAGATGAAGACGGAAAATCCAATAGGTTTGAGGAGATAAAGTTGGGGCGTGCCGTCGTTTGGGCGGTTGCTGACGAAGAATCCTGGAAACGTGTAAGCACATTTGGAATAACAGTCTCTGGATTTGGAAGCGAATCAGGGGTTGTGATGAATGAACCAGTGGTTGTTTCTAAAGGCGTATTGGGAGTTGTTTCCTCAACCAGCTCGGTGGAATTGGGTGTTAGTGTGAATTCCTGGGTTCCCATATACGGTGCTGATGATTTTGTGGGTGCTTTAGTGACAAGATCCGATAACATTGCGTATAAATCTAAAATACTAGCGGTTTGCGTCTGAGGTGATTTTGTGCTACGTGAGTCAATACTTTGTTCGGTTGTTAAAACAGGTGCAATGGTCGATGGTGCATCATTAGTCTGTGAGTCGGTGATTAGTGATGGATAATTTGTTGTCTCGGGGATTTCTGCACGAGGCGTTTGTTCAATTAATCGAGAAAAGGAATTTAAAATGGGCGCAAGGGTCGTGTCAATATCTACCGTAGTCGTACTTTCGGTAGTTTGGGTTCTATCAGTATTGTCAAGAAACCCACCTAGAAGTGAAGGCATTTTATCTACAGGTGGTCGATTTTGAGGAGTCTTTGACATTAACTCCGTGTCATTTGGAGATTTGGGAGAAAGCTTTGTAGCTACGTTCATTAGGCGCGAGAGTAGTTCGTTATCAAAGGGTGTGTCACTATCACCGTCATTGATCCAAGATTGAGTCATATTCATAAATTCGTCTTTAACAATGTTGAGATTCATTTGATTTGACAGAGGAGTTGATAAATCAAATGATGTCTGGCCTGTTGTACTGAAATTTTCATCTAAGGTCACATCGACATCTAATGGATTTTTAGATCCGGTAATAGAACTCGTAAAAGTGGTTTGATCAATTAATGACACAGGAGCACTGGTCATTTCAGTTCTTGGATCGTAATTGGTTTCTTTAATTCTTGGAAATATGGCGGAGTTAGTGGTTAGGATCCCGAGCGGTGTTGTTGATTCGTTTATGATATTGGGATCAATCATTGTAGTTGTCTCAATATTCTCCATTACCTGGCTTTTTATAGTTGGATTACCCAACTGCGCCAGGGTGTCCAAAAAAGACTGCAGCTTAGGAAGTCGAGGAAATCCTCCCATTGGTATTAAAGTGGAAGGGATTATTTTTGGTGTTGTCAATGTCCTTTTGGTAGTCGATGATGTCATCACTCGTCCTGCTGATGACATTGTCGTGGTCGGTAATTCCGTTGATGTAGTTGTAGTAGGCATTTCAGTTGTTGATGTTTCAGTGGTTGTCGGAAATTCTGTTGTAGATGATAATGTTGTTGATTGAACTGTAGTAGTGGATGATACTGTAGTAGTGGATGGCACTTCTGTTGTTGATGATATTGCTATCGTTGATGGCATTTCCGTTGATGACATTCCAGATAATTGTGTTTCAGTTGCTGTTGTTGGTAGTTGTCTTGATATTTCTGTTGATGGTGTTTCAGTTAATGAAAATGGCACTTCTGTTGATGCATAATTCTCAAAAAAATTTCCTCTATTATTAATATCAACAACTCTATCCGTGGTACTTAAAAAACCATCAGTGAATACAGGTATTTCAGTGGAAAAGTATCCCCTATTCAGTACAGATGTTCTAGCCGGATTAACTGTCGAAGCCGAACCTAAAAATTCATTCTTTCCATCAAAATTTGTCAATTTTTGAAAAGTTTCTTCGTCAGTAGTTGCTCTAAAATTTGACGTGGCGTAAAGAGCTTCATCATTTAAAGAAGAGACTTTAGATGAAGATTCAGTCGAAAATTCTGGCGTGAAATTAGGAATAAATTCAGGTGTAGAATTAGGAACAATTTCAGATGTAGAATCAAGAATAGATCTTGTGGATTCAAATGAAGATTTAGAAATAAGTTCAGTTGTGGTTTCAAATCCAGAATCAGTGGTATCTTCAGGTTTAACGGGAGTTACAATAAAAACATTCATCTCAGTTGTAGAAGTTGCTTCTGTGGTTCTAACATTTTCCTGGCTAGCGCCTATTGTTGTTGCTTCTAAATTAGAGCTATCAGTATTAATTGCAACATTACGACTGAATTCTAAATCGCCAATATCATTGTTGGAAAAATTAGGAATATTGGAAAAACTAGTGGCATCTTCGGCTTCTGTACTTGTTGTACTTATGGTTGTGGTAGCTGCTTGAATTCGATTGTTGACATCCAAAAAAGTACTCACATCCGCAAGGGGTGGATTTAACTCGGAGGTGGAGATCATCTCAAAGGTGGTTGGGTTTTCCGAAGTTGTTGGGGTTCTGTCAGGAGTTTGGGTAGCCTCGGGCGTTGGGGGAATGGCATCCGAAGGTAGAATTTCTTTAGGGGTAATGAAGGTTGATTTAGTGGTTGTTACTGCTACTGTTATTGGTTCTATGTCATTGTTAGAACTGTTCGTGCCGTTGGGGTCGTTATCAGTGAGTCTGTCTACCTGTGCAACTCGTCCGAGTTGCTGTAAGTTAGTTTTAAGTTGTTCGTCGGTGATGGAAGCTGACTCCAGTGCTTGATAGAAGGTTAGAACCTTTGGTTCTCCATTACTTGAGACTTCAATTGGTGGTGGCAAGCCGGAATTCTGTAAATATAAAAGACGTGCATGGTGCGTACTGTACAGCATGCGTATACAATTGTGCTGATTACATCTATACACAAAATCAGATACACCGTTCTTCCATTCTTGGAACACGAGATTTATTTACTAGGGAAGAACTGTTGGTCCCATTCCCATGTACAAACGACAATTTAAAACGAGTAAATAATTTGTGAGAATTGATTACTTGGTGTTGAGTAATAATTAAATTAGATAATGTTGGAAAATCTAAAACTGGAAAGCATACACCATCTCTTGGTTTATTCTAGAACTACATGAAGAAGACAAAATGTGAAACGGGTTCTTTAGATTCGAGGGAATTTGCATATACACATGTCTGAGAGAATATGTATGCGGAAAGCAACAAGCAACGAACTTGTTCTTAAAGTTAAGAGTGCACGTATAGGTGGCATTAGGCGAGTAGACCGCTCTCTCAACACTTTTAATGTCTTCTTTAAGATACCGTTAGAGACTAGTAACAACCCACAACTTTCTGATATCAACTTCATTACGTGACAGTAGCTTGAAAACTTCCTCTATTTTTCACAAGTACAACTTTAATATTCATAACTACTTTTATTCGTTTTAGTAGACACTTTTTTTAAAAAATTCTTATTACGTTTATTTAACTTTATACTCTTTCATAATTGACTTAAACCCCAAGCTTTCTGGAATTACTTATCGCAGTTAAAATCTAATATGAATTAAAATTCTAATTCAAATATTCTGGAATGAATAGTTTTTGAAAAGATTATGATGAAAATTATTGTTCAGAGATGATGATTTTGAATATTGCGATATTTAAATAATTATATTTAAAGCAAAACATTGTATGTATATAAATTAATTTAATCGTGCAAGATCGCAAATACCATAAGTCGAGCGGCCTTGAGAGTATAAGCAAATAGATTTTTCATTTTATTACGCGGCAATCGAACACCTACAACATTCGTGATAACTCCCCTGCATTTAAAGGCTATTTTACTTTGCACTTTCACTTTGTATAATAAATAATCCACGATACGTAAAATTTGTTATGCACTGTACTTAAATAATTTATGAAAATTTTCCTCGTCTTATTTAATTATTTCCCCGCTTAAAAAAGAAATTATCGCAGTGACCAATAAATTTACTTTACATCAAGAGAGCTTTATATTAACAGATGACTTATTTAATTTATTAATGACGAAAAATAATGAAACGAAATAAATTCTCAGATTTACGATTAAAATTCATTCTTATAGAAATTTTCAACAAAAGTAATTATTGACCGTAACGAATTGGCGCGAGTTCATTATAAAAAGAAGATCAAGAATTAAAATATTGTGTGATATTGCCGAGAGTAATTAATTGTCACGGTTGGAGGATATGATTTAATACTGAAAATGTACTTCATCAGCATCCCTGTATATATATATATATATATATAAACGTCCATTTCGATCGCATATAATATAGTTATATTATTATTGGAATATTACCTAACAAATTTAAAACAATTAAGTGAATACAAATTAAATTTATTGCAAATATATATTTCTATTTCTTGTTAAATATTAATTGAACAGATAATAATTGTAACACATGAGTATATATATTTATATATCAAAACCTGGTTAAATATATTTGTTAATTATGCAATTCCCTTTATATATAATGAAGAAAGATAAAATATTGTTGAATAACACTCGTAATATCACAATTGTCTTTTTAAATTAGAATGTATATGGTATGCACTTAGTTTTATTAGAACAGAGAGGAGAGTTACTCGGATATTTACTCTGCAGGAATTAACGTAGGTCGTTCGTACTGAGAGGTATGGGACCAAAAGTTCCGACAGTATTTGTAACGATTCTGTGAAAAACGGTCGCTAGAGAAGTTGAAGGTGTTGTACTTCCCAGCGTTTCTGTTGGCTCAAATTCCAAAGGCTGGTCAAATTTATCCACGTCGATTACCTTAACAATTCGAAAAATAACTATCAATTTAGAAAAATTAATAGTATTATTAATTATTAATAATAATTAATAATAATTATTAATAATAATTAATAATATTAAAATATTTATATTTCATCCTTTTTTTTGTAAATTCTAAATCTTGTATTTTTTTATCGTACAAAGTTTAACAATTTTTTTTATCCTGATTTGGAAGAACGGTGTATGTTAATAATTTTCCTGTTTATATATTTAACATACATTGTGTATTCGTTTGTATTTACAAATTTGTATAATTATAAATAATTAAGTTTTTCTTTGATATTACCATAGGCTATAAATAAATCTCGAGAATTAATATGTAAATTTGTTAAAAGTATAAAAAAGAGTGCAAATAAAATATTTATATATATATATATATATATATAGTGTAACAGATAATGATGCGCATTTTTTGTGAAAATCTGTAAAAAATATATTGAGAGAGATAATAATCGAATGGAAAATGAGAAATTATTGGTCACAAACTTTCCATTAGTTTTCTTACCTCGATTGGTGTAAATGGCGTAGTTGAGCTTGTAATCGTTGGAATAGCAGATTGAGAAATGGATGGATTTCTTACGAAAAGTTCGGCGCCCTTATATCTTGCACTAAATCTCGGTGGAGATCCATTTGGCGTTATCCTGACGGCTGTATTCTAATAATTTAGAAATAAAATTCCAATCATTTTGTACAATTTCACATTATATTATTTGAAAATCTCTATATTTTATTGAAATACACAAAAGAGAAATAATAATCTAAGAGAATTAAATTTTTTTTTTAAATATTTCAAACAAGAATAATCCTGCAATAATCCATATACAAAAATATTACAATATTTTAGAAGAATTTTGATTTAGAACATCTTAATTTTGTATTTGAATTTTTTTTGTTTTCGTTTTTTATTTATTTTAAGGAAATGAATTAAATTAAACTTTAATTAATCTGAATATGGAATCGTTGGTTTGAAATTGGAAAATGTATTATTTCCATGTATCTTTTCCAAATTTAAGGATGCAATTCCTGGTATGGAAATAATGAAAATGTTGCAATGAATAACAAGAAGCAAAATTTTAACATTTTTCGTTAATAATATATTTCTTGAATTTATATTATTTTCTTAAAAATATTGTATTGGAATTTTGTTTTAATATTAAAGATATTGATTTACTGTGAAATTTTACGATAATTGTATAGCTATTATATACCCAATCGTATGCAAATAAATTGATAAACTATTAATTTAAAAGACACTACAAATAATTATTGTCAATTGTACAAATAGATTTTGATTTTTTAGATCAAATATGATTTAAAAAAATTTAAAAATTAATGAGGAATATTCAATAGTATGAAAACAAAATTAATTAAAAAGATTTAAAAACAGAAAAAATATTACAATTTTCTTTACATTATTCATTGTGATTGAATTTTCGTTAAGGTGAATAACCAAATAGTGACAAAAAATTTTCATTTTAAAATTTTATTTAAAAAAAATTATATTTTAGGAATTAGGTATATTTTTTGATTTATTTTATGTATATTTTGGAATATTGCAGGAATATTCTTGATATATTCTGTATACAAGAATATTTATATTTCTCAAAGTAACTAACTAATAAATAAATATTATTAACTAATCAATAAATAATAATTAATATATCATTAATAAATATTAAACACTCTCTAAATTTGAATAAGTGAGATTTCACTAATAAAATAACTGAAAAGGAACTGAATTACTTCAGTAATATTTTCACTGAAATTCAGTTCGATTTGACTGAATATTAGTAGAAATTATTATTGATTTACGCAGTCAAATCTATACTATCGTTGATCGGTAAAACAGAACAGTTAAATCTGCATTATCATTGATCGGTAAAACAGATTCAACTGTTTTAATCCAATTATCAGTTAATTATGACTGAATTTTAGTAAAAATCTTACTGAAGTGTAAGTGTTCTTACTGAAATTTTAAATATTTTACACTGTAAAAAGAAAGTCTTATTTTAAGGCCGAAAAGAGGTCTTATTTTAAGAGGCAACATTTTTAAGGCAGCTTTGCTGAATTTACGCAATGCAATTTCCATTAGAGCTACTAGCGCTGATTTTAAGACTCATCTGAAATTAACATCTTCTTTTTACAGTGTATCAGTGAATTATTCATTCAAAATTAGGGAGTAAATAATAAATAAATTTTAATCCAGTATTAAACGAAAAATGCGATCTTAAATTGCTGTAGCCATTTAAAAGACTAATAAAAAAAGAAAAGAATTAAAAAATTTCAAATCTTACGATATTTGAGGCATTATTGTAGATTCCAGAAAAAATGGGACTTCTGGCACCCAATGAACCAAGTAAAGGCGCCACTGTTCCTCTAATTTGCTCTAAAAGAGTAACATTTCCGGCAGTGACAAGGACATTCTTAGTGGGATTGAAGATATTGCCACTATTTCCGGTGAATGTATTGCCGTCTTGAAGAATTTGAAGAGACTGCTGCTGCACACTATTGGAATCATTGGATACCTTCACATTAACTACGGGTTCCTGTGTTACCAACTGTGGTGAAGGGTTACTAGTCGACACTTGAAATCTCGTTGCTTTCGGTGTTATTTCAATGCTATTCGGCTCAACAGTCGATGATCTCAACAAGCTTTGTGCAACTTCCGAGTGTCTTCGATAGGTTGCAGTTCTTGAACGTGGATCTATTTTTTGTGTACTATTCACTATTTTCTTTTCACTTTGATCGCTATTTGTGACATTTGATTTTAAAATTGAATCAGTTTTAAATACTTGTACTTTATTTCTTGAATAACGACTGGTTGGTCGAACATTTTTTGTTGCTAACGTTGTTGTTGGTGTTGTCGTTGTTTCATTAATTTTTGTTGGCTCCTTTTTTGTCTTCAATAATCTCGTTTCATCAACACTGCTCCTCGAGAGATCATTGAATAATTTGGTTCTCAATTTTTTCGTTGAAATCTCTTCAGAAATTGTTGTACTAAGTGATCTTGTTACTGAGATATAATTTTTCATTGTCACTGGATTTTCTGTTATTTCTCCAATTGAATTGGAATTAATTTGATTTGTTGTACTGGTCCTTGAAAATTTGTATTTTGATCCTGATTTTCCAGTAGAAGCATTTCTGTATCGCGAAATTGGTTTTCGCGAAGATGTTGATGATTTTAATTTATTTTCTTCTGTATTTTTCAACGAACGACGAATCGACGTACTTTTTGGTTTTTGAGTCGTTGAATAATCATTTGTCTTATTAGTTCTTCTTGTAAATGATTTTCCCCTACCTAGGGAATTATTAGCTTCGATTCGATTTTCAACTTTTGGTTTTGATCTAATTTTGAATGTTGAACGAGATTTTGAAAAAGAATCACTGTTTCTGGTTGAATTTTGAGATTTATTTTTCCCATCTTCTTTAACGGATGAAATACGTGATTTTGGTGTGAAATTATGGATTTTATTTGTTTCGTCATTTTTTTTCGGTCTTGCTAATTTTGGTTTGACAACACTCTCTTGACCCAATGTACTTTCGGTGTGAAGATCAGATAATTTGTTTTCCAATTTCTTCTCTTCTTCAATATCCAAATTTTTTCTCTCATTGATTGAATCGGTTTGTAAATTTGTTTCTTCATCGAGCAATTCAGGTTTCACTAGCTTTCTGGCATTTTCCAATTTCATTCTGGACCTCGCGGAGAATAGTGATGTTGATGCTTTCTTGTTGCCCTGAAAAAAGGTCGTCGAACAACCTTTTTATGAACGATGATAATCCATTGATTTTTTTTTTTTTTTTTTTTTGACTCGGCTGAGACTTTTTTCAGTTTTTGAGTCAGTTTTATAATTATAGAAGAAAGAAAAGTATCACCAAAAGCGAGTTAATAAAATCCAATATATATTTTAAACAGGCAATTTTATAATAAAAATTTCATGCAAAAGAAAAAAAAATTATAAAAGAGAATCGAATGATTGGCATTGCTAATGTACAATATTTATAATTTTATCATGCAAAGAAAATAAAGAAAAAAAAATTTTGTTTTGCTATCTTTTCGAATTTGTTATTTATTTATTCTGTTCTATATTCATTTCAAAGGCCATTTTTTTTTTTTATTTATTTCTTTTGGTTCTTTCGTCCCTTCATTTGAAGAACTTCAGTAAATAGACGGTCCAATTAATGATGACGTTCTTAATGATCTCGAACCACGATCGCATTGCTGATGACAGTAACTGAAAGTTTAATGACGCTTTTTTTAAGGTCTAAAGAAACAGAATTCCGATTATTGGACAGATAAAAAAAAAAACTGTCGTCAAATTTCTACGATGCTTATCAAAACCGTCCAATTTTTGGTTTGTATGGATTTTTTTTAATTAAAAAAAAAATTAATTAATTAAAATTTAAAAAGAATTATTATTAGAAATAATATAGAATAGAGAAAAAAAAATTTTTTTTGAAAAGGAAATTCTCTAAATTATTTATTACAATACGAAATTAATTTCTCTAATAATGATATATATTTTTTATTTTTTAAATTACGACATTTATTTCCGTCCAATTTTCGAGCTCTCGATATTGATTAATGATAAACTTTAGAAATTTTTTTCTATAAAATTTATAATAAAAATAGATCTATGTCACCAAAAGCCATCATTAAAGGGAGAATCGAGTATGAAAGTTAGACAATCAACTTTCGTTAATTACTAATTGCAATTACAGGCCATTTATAACGGTACAGGAAATCTTCGATTAAAAATAATAATCGAGGACAATATTTATTTTTACAAAAGGGAATATAACCCTTTTTTAATTTTATTTTCTATAAAATCACATTTCTCCGTTAGTGAATTTTTTTTTTTATTTAATTAATGTCAAATTAATAATTTAAATACTTACTAATTTATTCATTTTATGTCTATTAATTTTTGATAAGAATTTTTTAGAAGAAGAAAACTTTTACTTTTAGACGTAAATTTCACTATTAAAGACTTCAACATGACAAGTTGTTTATAATAATAAATGAAAAATAAAATAAAAATAAATAATTAATCAAAAAGAAGCGAAAAGCAGATAAAGATTAATTAACTATTGAATTAAAATAATTAATTAAATAATAAAATAATTAATAAAAAGCAAAATAATAGATAAAAAGTAAATGATAATAATTAAATAAAAAAAAAAAAAACATATTAAAAGCACAAATTTACATTTTTTTCTCTCCCATATGGAAACATTTTTAAGGCTTAAAGTATGTATTTTCGATTTGAATACAATGAAAAAAAAAACCTACAAAATCAGTTTACTAATTTTTTTAAAGAGTCATAAGTTTTCAGTACTTTTTTTTTAACTGCGACATTAATGAGATATTTTAATTATTCATGATCCTTTTTGTGTATATAATAAAATCTGATCCAATTTACGCGCGAATCGCGTTCAGTTACCACGCCTTCGCTCAAGGTTTTACTTTCTCCATATAATATACGAGGAACCCAAAAACAAGAACAGTTGGCCAGCGAAATTAACCGGTTCGCGAATCCCTCACGGTATTATGAAATCTATATCACATGTGAAATTTCATTTCCAAGAAGTAATTCAAAAAAAAAAAAAAATAAGACAGACTTTCCTTTCGATTGAGTAAGATTTTCGAAAGAATATAAATTAGAGGAGAATAAAGCATCACAAGCTCGATGTCAATGTTCTTCACACAAGTCGTAATATTGGGAGTCAATGACATCGAATACATTTTTTTTTTTGTACAGTTTCAATATATTTCGACATATATATTGTTCAAACTCTGTGTTATTGTCTCTTTGATCTTGAATTGGATTTTTCCGCATTCTGTTTCCTTTTATAGCACATGCTTAAATAATAAGGAAATTTCTTTTTTTTTGCTAAAAATTGTTTTTTGTTTTCCAGGTAAAAAATTTAAAATAGTCTTATTTTTACAATATTGGTAAAAAAAAATTGGATAAACAAAATCGAAAAAAATTTATTTAACAAAATTCATAGAAAATTCCAATTCAAATATAGTGCGAGACTTTTGTTGCATGCAAATATAGAAAAACAAAAATTACCTCAAATACACTGCAAAAATTTTATTTGACTCAAATAATTTTTTTATCAAATGAATATTTATTTATATATAAAATATTTTTTATTTGAATAAAAAAAACTGTATTTAAACTAATAATTTGAAGCAAATAAAATTTTATTGACTGTAGTAAAAATTATTTGCTTTAAAGAAATATTTATTTGATAAATAGTTAAGATTATTTGAATGAAATAAATTTTTTTTTTCAGTTTAGGGAGAAATGAAGAAATTGCAGAGAAAGAAGGGAAGCAATTGACAATTATTAAATATTCAATAGCATAGCACAGAAAGAAAAGTTTTTTAGGCTTAGAAAAAAGTTTTTCATAATAAAAATTATTTTTTCAAAAAAAAACATTTTTAACTTTTTTCCAGGAAATATAAATATAAAATATTTACAAAAATTAAATGCTAAATAAATAATTAAACGATAAAATTGAAAATTTAGAAATTAAAAGAAGTAGTTTTAATTTCTTTAAAATTTCAAAATAATTGTACTAATAGTATTCAATTGTATCATTGAATTATTTCCTTAATTATAGTACCAATTGTACTAACCAATTGTACAGTTGAATTATCATGCAACTTTCAGCTGTAAATAATATTTTCATGCAAAAAAAAGAAAAGAAAAAATATTTATTCTTATTCTAAGCTAATTTTGTATTGTAATATTAAACATTAATTTGAATAAATATTGCTTTGAAAAAAATACTGCAAATAAATTAGTAATTGTTTTGTCATTTATATAATATTTAAATAAATTTCACTGCAATAAAATGGGAAATGTATAAAAAAAATTCCTTATAATTTTTTTTTGTACAATTATTTTTTTTGCCATGTATATTATATTGAAAATAAGAACTCACTTGTAATGGAGATCTTGTGGTTGCTTTTGCTCCAGACGATGAACCCAAATTTTTCTGTAATAATATATATTTTCTTTCTACTTTAAATTCACGACCATTTGAAATAATAGAAATAAAATATATACAGTAAATTTGCAAATCAAAATATAAATATTAAATTCAGAAGAAAACAATTTTGTTAAATCAATAACAGTTAATTTAAATATCCAAACAAAATCAACTAATATTTATTATGCCTGTAATTATTTCATTGATTTATGAAATATTTTACAGTCTTAAACAAATGTTTTTTTTTTTTATTAAATTAGAAATTTTAAAACCAATAGATCATTTTTTTATACCATAGAATAAAATCAATAATCAATGAAAGTAAAATCAAAAAAAAAAAACTCACCAATTGAGCTAATTTTTCCTTAAAGTCTGGAGGATAATTTTCGTCATCAATATTTTCATGATTGGCAGAAATGATCGGTGAATCGCCAGGGGCTTTAACAAAAGTTTTATTGCCTCTTCTACCTGGTGATTTAGTCGCTGAACCGGAAGTTGTGGTGATTTCCTCCTCCGTTGTCACTAGCGATGATTCAGCACCAGTATACGGTCTTCTATGCAATGACCATCCAGGATTTCCTCTTGCCTGTGATTCTTGTGGAATTATTGTTGTTGTTACAATTCTCTGTGGAATTTCAGTGGTAATTATTGTACCAACAGTTGAAGAATCAGGTAATGGTCTTCTGCCCCTGAAACCAAGGCCATGATTGTAGAAGTCCTCCTTGGAGGCTTTACGTCTCGATGTTCCAGTTCGCTCCCTCGATCTTGTTGATGTTGTTCCTTCACTTTCTCTCCTAGTGGCTCTCGAGGTCGTTGTTGACACGATTCTGCTATTCGGAGACACTGTGGTTGCTGATCGCGAGGAGATTATCAAAGACCCTGAATCAAAATCAGTTCTACCACCAGAAGCTGTTACTTCCGGGAAAGCTGTCACCGTTTCCTGTGATGTTGTTGATTCTGAAGATTTTGACTGTTCAATTCTCGATCTGTTTCTAGATCGTTTTCTCGAATCTTCCTGATTTCTTGATCTTCCATTTCTTCTCTCGTTACTTGTACCCATAGTCCTTCCATCTTGAATAATCGACGATGCATCTTGTCCTCTTCCCCTGGATCTTAAATCACTATCACCAATTCTTGATTTCATTTCCGAACTTCTCATTTTTATTGTATCGACCTCGTCCTTCGAGAATCTATTTCCATTTCGTCTGTTGACAATCTCATCGTTTCCAATTTGATCCGATCTTGATGGAACTCTTCTAGAATCACTTCTACTTGATTCTTCACTTCGAACACTTTCTGCAAATGAAGTTCTACCCCTTTGTCGTGATTTTCTCGAATCAATTTCCTCGGTAATTGTCGACTGTGTCGATGGTGCTGATCTTCGTGTAACCTGAAGAATTGCTGGTACATTAATATTTTCCGATCCAGCTGGTAACGAATCCCTCTTTGAATGATCAATAATTTTTCTCAAATTATTTACACTGTCGATTTTTTTCTCAATTTTTTCTGAATTTAAATCATCATCATCACTTCGTCGCGATGCAAATCTTTTGGATGCTGGAATTTCACTTCGTAATTCACGTTGTGTAAAAGTTGTTTGAATTTTTCTTCCTGTTCTTAATCGTGAATCATCCGAATTGTTTGTTGCGGAAAAAATTGATGGTCCATTCTTATCGAGAACAATTTTTTCCGCTTGATCTGATTGAATGTTACGGTTCAATTGTCGTGATCGAGTAGAGACTTTCTGAAATTTTCCAACTTCCGGTGAATTATTATCAATCAAATGTCGTTGATTGGAATTTTTTTTATTAAAAATCACTTTTCGATTAGTTGTACTAATTTCATCATTTGTTGACGATGTTGTACTTTGATTTTTATTTATTGATTTTTTCGGTTCAAATTTTCGATTATTGGAATTTAATTCTATTTTTGTGGTTTTTAATGTTGTTCCCTCCTCAATGGGTGATGAATTAAATCCATTTGTTTTTCGATTTGATGATCCACGTCTGTTTAATGATTTTTGAATGGGAATTGAATCGGGAGGTGATTCTGTTGTTCTGGCACTTTGAGCATTAAATCTTGAACTCCCCCGGCTCCTTGGTGCCGGTAGCTTTGGTTCGTCGACCTAGAACAAAAATTCACAAAAGAATGAATACGAATTTTTATTTTTAATTCGTACAAAAATAAAATTAGATTTAAAATTTTGTTTTGGATTTTAAATCAAAACCAAAAATGAAATTATATAAGAACTTGCGAATTCATTTTGATAAATTAAATTAGATAAATATGTAAATTAAAAAAAAAAAAAAAAAATAGAGGAAATATCACGGCCACTTGGACTTGAAAGTAAAGATATAATATTTGACACTGCTTTTTTTATATGTCAAATCGGTGATTTGTGTTTTTTATTCGTTATATCCTCGATGGGAAAACATTTTCAAAGGACAAATTTGTAATCTGATTACTATGAAGCTTTTAACCAAGGTAATCAAGGTGTTATAGGACATTTACAGCTGGAGCCAAAATAAATTGATACCATTCTCCCCGTACATTAACCGGTTTACCTTTTCCTTTTAACTTTCATGCGAAGCTATAAGTAGGTATCATTTTCCTCGATTTGACCGCAACGCTTGTCTTTGCTAATGTTCTTTTTTTCCATAATGTCTCAACATTTTCATTTCTAAATAATTATCCTATTCTATATGCAGCTAATACAATTTTAATCTTCCAAATTTATTTAGTAAAAAAAAATTTACCAGAATAGCTAGTTTTTATAATTTAGATAAACATTTTCATAATTTCACAGTAAATTATTTAGCTGTTCAAAGTGAAATTTTTTATACAAATCAAAATATAATCAATAATAAGTAAATAAAAGTATTTATTATCGAATAAATTTAAATTATTAAAATAAATTTTTTTAAATTTCAATTTCAAAATCTATATATAAATAAAAAGTAAAAAATAATATGAGAAATTAAGTTGTTTAAAGGTGAAAAGAATATGACGTGTGCTTGAGTTGGCAGTGCACCTGGAATTACCTGATGCTTGAATAAGAAATTAAATAAGATCAGGAAGAAAATGTCTTGTGTGGAAAAGGGCATTTATTGAAGAGAGTGTAAGTGACGAGTGTCTTGAAACTTTTTGATGAAGGCCTTTGCGATATAATATAAAGCAGACATAAAACTGGTCCAAGTCGAAATATCAGGAAAGTCCATCGAGTTAAAAAAAATATTACAGGTATAAATTCATGTAACAGGACACAGGCCCAATATAAAAATGTTGCAATATTGACCACACCCAGAGTAAAAAATTTTTTATTTTTTTTTTTCAAGCCCTCAAGGCTTTTGAAAATATTATTGCATATTTATATTTTTTTTTTATCGAATAAGAGAAATTTATATTCGACATTAAAATAACCAATCAATTACAGAAAAATTCTTCATTTTTAATATTTGAAATTTTTTTTAAATAACATAATTGCTTTGTAATATTTAAAAAAATATATTTCAATTTGTTTTCGAAAACTTTTACTCTCTATATACTTCTACAGTAGTTATTCCACTTATCCCAAATAAGTAGAAAAATCTACGCACGGACAGACAGTAGAGCGAGGAACTTGATTTTAGGAAGTAGAAAATTCCAACCTTAGTCAGACGAAAAAAATTAACCTTACAAAATATATCCAACAAAAATATAATATAAATATATAAAAGATAAAATAATTATAGAAAAATCGGACAACAAAGACTTAACGAGTTGTGAATCTCAGATATTTGAAGGATAAAAAAAATACTGCCTCTTCAAAAAAAAAAAATTCGGACACATGTTAACTTAATGGGGAAAAAAAAAATTATCCCTTTTTTGTATGACACAAAGGAAAACCTTGAATCAAAATATATAACCCTGAAAGTGTATGTTCATTCGAAAAAGAATATCAAAACTTTTCTACCAACAAAGAAACTATCACTACGCAAAAGTGCGCACAGTTCCAGTTTCGTGTTCACACGAGGATAGAGAGAATAATCGCTCATAGCCATCGATTTCAACAAAAAAAAATATATATGTGGGGGGAAATTACAAGGATTCCGTGTATATTCACGAATGCAAAATAAGTAGGTCGTCATAGCCGTAGGGTGTAAATTTATGGAAAGTGATTTAAAATCATTTCCCTTGGAATAGTTTATATACTTAAAAATTACTATATGAGCGATTCTTCAAAATTTTGTATCTAAACAAATCATTGAATTATTTACTTTACACAAACAAATCAGAAATAAATTTTTTTTTTAAAGGAAAAAATTTTTCTAAATAGAATACATTTATTATTAAATGCCAATTATATCTCTCGATATCAAACTCTAATCTTCGACATTGTCAAAGGAAATAATTATAGAAAGAAAGATAAAATCCCAAAGATATTAGAAAATTATCGCAATTATAATTTGTGCAACAGTTTATTAAATCAACAGGAGAGAAAAGTTAATAGAAAAATTGAAGAAAAAAATTTTTCCAAAGAATTATTTAAAACTGTTAAATAATTTTATATAATAATAATAATAATAGCCATAAATAATAAGTTTACCGTTGTCTCAGTTTTGATATATTCTCGATAGTAAATCAAAATTTTCAAAAAAACGTTCGAAAGAAAGAAAATTTCTTTATATATAGTGAGAAAAAAATTTGAAATTAAGGAGACTGAAGAGAAAGTATATATGAAGTATATAATTGACGATGTAATTTTTCTCCTAGAGAAATAGATAATTATCAGAAAGTTTGTTTATTTGATAATATATATGTGTCTATATATATATTGTGTAATTTCGATAACAACTGGGAATTACACTTGAAATAATAATCGTTTCTAAGTCATTCAAGAATAGTTACAATTTAACTTAATCTAAACTGATATAGAGACTAATACAACGAATTATATCGATTTGTATTTTACAGTATTGTTTCATCTATATATTTATCTAAAAGGCATTTCATATAATAATTTATCAGATTATGATTAATGAAAATTGCTGTTAATTATTAGATTACGATTTGCAAACATTTATTTTCCAATACTAATTAACCAATGACTTTAATGTAATTTTCAAATAACGTTATTGAGATTGTCGGGTTCAATAATAAAATGATAATAATGAAATTAATCATGCAAATTTATATACTGTGAGGACAAATTTGGGTCAGTCGTTTATTACAATTATATACTCATCAATGTCACGGAATAAAGACAATAATAGTGTCGTAAATGTTGTAAAAGTCAACAAAAGTTGAAGGCCAATTTTCTCACGATTTCATAAATCAAAATTATTCTCCGTGATAGAAAAAAAAATTTATATTCAAGATTTATTATGTCTTTAATATACTTGCAAATTTATAAAATTCTGCTCACGATTCAATTAATTTTTTAAAATTCAAAATAGCGGAAATTTTCAACCGCCATTTTGAATTTTGAAAAACTGATCTCAGATTCTTTTTTTAAATACGTATCTAGTTTTTTTGAGGATGTGAAAGAATTTAAGAATGTTATAAACTAGCTTGAATCAATAATTGTAATTTAATCTTCACTTCCATGAAATTCGTATATTCTATATCCTATATAATTTCCTGATCATTTTCATATAGTTGCAATTTGAGAGTAATACGGCTGAATAAATGAGAAGTTAAACTCCATTTTCCAGACGAAATTCCACCGACTTATGTGGTTACGATCATTTTATTACGTCAACTTCTCAAAGCTAGTTTATGATTTTTAATCGAAAAATTATAACTTGTAAGAATGTAAATGTGTATAATTTCGAAGGAGGAGGGCGAAGTCAATTTTTTTCCCCCATTTAATATTAATCAATCGCAATTATGTGAAATTAAAAATAACTAATTTTTTTTATAAAATCTTTGCTGATTTTTTGCTTCAGTATAATTAGTAAAAAATAATTAATTATTAGAAAAAAGTTACAAAATTTCTATTAGAAAAATAATTGTATTTACTTATAAATTATATTTTTACTCTCTAAATCTAAATTAGTAACCAATTTTATTAATTTAAATTAGTGTTATAACTTTTTGTTTTTGAATTAGTGAAATTTAACTAATTAATAGTAGGATTATAATTAATTAGTATTAACATAATTAGTATTAAACTAATTAGTATTACGATAATTTGTATGTATTAACATAAGTCGGATCAACATAAGTAGGATCAACATAAGTAGGATCAACATAAGTAGGATCAACATAAGTAGGATCATCATAAGTAGGATCATCATAAGTAGGATCAACATAATTAGGATCAACATAATTAGGATCAACATAATTAGGATCAACATAATTAGGATCAACATAAGTAGGATCAACATAAGTAGGATCAACATAAGTAGGATCAACATAAGTAGGATCAACATAAGTAGGATCAACATAAGTAGGATCAACATAAGTAAGATCAACATAAGTAGGATCAACATAAGTAGGATCATCATAAGTAGGATCATCATAAGTAGGATCAACATAATTAGGATCATCATAAGTAGGATCAACATAATTAGGATCAACATAATTAGGATCAACATAATTAGGATCACCATAATTAGGATCAACATAAGTAGGATCAACATAAGTAGGATCAACATAATTAGGATCAACATAATTAGGATCAACATAAGTAGGATCAACATAAGTAGGATCAACATAAGTAGGATCAACATAAGTAGGATCAACATAAGTAGGATCAACATAAGTAGGATCATCATAAGTAGGATCATCATAAGTAGGATCAACATAATTAGGATCATCATAAGTAGGATCAACATAATTAGGATCAACATAATTAGGATCAACATAATTAGGATCACCATAATTAGGATCAACATAAGTAGGATCAACATAAGTAGGATCAACATAATTAGGATCAACATAATTAGGATCAACATAAGTAGGATCAACATAAGTAGGATCAACATAAGTAGGATCAACATAAGTAGGATCAACATAAGTAGGATCAACATAAATAGGATCAACATAAATAGGATCAACATAAGTAGGATCAACATAAGTAGGATCAACATAAGTAGGATCATCATAAGTAGGATCAACATAATTAGGATCAACATAATTAGG